CAAACATTTGCCATCAAACTGTTGTTTTTAAAAATTAAATATATATTTTAGGCAGGAATGAGGGTAAATAGTAATGATAAACTTATTAGAAATTTACACCCCCAAAAGGAGAGACTATCTTCTTGAAAGGAGATAAAAGCGAAAAGCCTCTTGCTTCTAAGGTGAATCTATCTAGTTCATTCTCTGGGCAGACCTTACCACTGGTTCTTGACCATATGCTACTTCCTGAAATAGTTCAGTATAGACCATTTCTTTTTGGTACAGTGGAACCAATGGTGATGAAGGAGGAAGTTCAAGTTGCACTAACAGGACAGCACTTAACAATGACAACTTGCTTGATGCCGTTGACCAGACCAGACACTAAGTAATTATCCGTAGTCACTGTGGGGTACATATGAAGTCTGTATGGGGAAGACGTACAGAGAGAGTGGGTCGGATCTGTTCTGTTGTTCCGTGGTGCCCCCATCCCCAGACCTACCTTCTCATGGATGACTGAGATGTACCAGGGCAAATGCTTTCTCGGATAGGGCTGGGCTATGTCCAGGCAGCTTGTTTTGGGGCTCAGCACCTCAAATTTGTTTTTCCTTTGCAAGTAATTGAACTCACAGGCACTCTTACTGGAGGACAGGGGATGCTCTGTTGAGAAAGTAAATTGGATGCAATGCCTGATTCACTCCCAGGAGGTGGCATCTTCCCTGGCCATGGTCCCACTCATCTTTCTCTAGCCAGTGGGCTTCCAGTCTGTCTGTCACTGTGATGGTGACTTTCATGTGTCAATTTGGCCAGACTGTGGTGTCCAGGAGTTTAGCCATACACTGTTCAGGGTCACTCGTTATGGAGTTGTCCTTTATTGTTAAGCTGGAACTGATACATAGCTGGCTCTCCAGCGGGTTTTCAGAGGAAAGAAATTGCACTGGAGGAGATTGCCCATCTTTCTCCCACAGAGCAGCTGATAGGTTTGAACTGCATGCCTTTGGGTTGGTGGTACAACTCCTTACCACTAGGCCACCAAAGCACCCTTTGTTATGGAGTACTTAGGTGCTATTAAATCAGGTGGTCTCAAGGAAAGCAAATGACTTTCCAGACTACGCTCTAAAGCAATTCAATGTCATCAATCTTCCATAATGTAATAGAATATTACAATCATCTTCCATCTGATCTAAGAAAATGACCTTTCATAATGCAATATAGTTACTTTCTCTCTCTCTCTCTTTTATTTTTTGTAGTTACTTTCCTTAAGGTAATCTAATGTAGTATAATAAACCAGTTAAAGGCCTTAGGAGCATAAAGGAGAGTGTTTCCCTAGGGTGTGTTCTCCTGCCACATTATAAACCGGTATTGGAGTTCTAGGAATTTTAGACTTGCCAGCCTCTCACAATCGTGTGGACCAGCTCCCTGAAGCAGATGACCCTTGTTTCTCTCTATATAAATGTGTGTGCTGGTTCTGTTTCTGTAGGACACCCAAACAAAAACAATCACCCACATCCTACTAAAATACTTGCATCCTTGTTTGCTGAGTGTCCCTCCCTCTCACCAGAGACCCGTTCCACAAGCACAGTGATAGTGACTGTTTAGTGATAGTGAACACCACAGGTGAGCCTCAGGTGTGTGCCGAGTAGACAGGTGTGTATCAGAGCATCGTCCAGGCTCTCAGGCTGAGGTTGCTGACCCTGGGAGTCAGGAGAGTAGAACTGCTCTGAGCCTTCCTCTCAGCTTCTCCACCATTAAACTGAAGGAGGTGGCTTGCCCAGGTCCCCAAGCATGAGGGGAGAGGGTCACCCAGGCTCTTGGTTCCCTGGCATTGAGGCCACGAAGGATCTGCCCTGCTGTGGATTTAATCTCCCTTCTGGTAAATAAAACAAATGCATTTGTCTGTAGGCTCATGGTCTATGGGTCTGTCTACTCAAAGAGGGCTGCGCACACGAGCCTTTGCAGAGTGGACACAGGGCTCAGTGGGGATGAGATTGTCACTGTCCATTTTGCCAAAGACCAAAGGACTGCTGTAGTCACTTGACCCCCAGAGGAAGGGAGATGCCATGGGTGTTGCCCAAGCCTGTGCTGGGCAAGCTCAACCTCACCGTTCATGTTTGTGTCAAAATCTGACTGCTCCAGGACCATTTCCTCACTTAGCTCCCAGGTCTCTGTGTTGCTGTCCAGTTCCTTTGGCAGAGAAGCTATGGTGGTACCTGCAGAGGGTTAGAAATGTCAGTCAGGAACCAATGAGCCCTCCTCTCACCTTGCTCTCAGGAGGGAGCAGGCTAGGGGGTTGTTGTTCGTGCCAATGCATGGTGATGTGCTGCGGGTAGAGTAGAATGGCCCCATTGAGGTCTCAAGCCTGTGATGCCTCGGGAAAGACTGCTAGGTTTGTCTTTTGAGTCACCTCTAGGTGAGCTGAGCCACCAACCTTTCAGATAGCAATTGAGTGCTTCCTGCTTGTGTCACCTAGGGACTCATAATTAACTAAAGATGGATTTTCTCAGTGGGCACATGGGACAGCAGTAGCAGGATGGAATCAAACCCCAGTTATGCCCTCCTGCCCACCATGGAAGTAGACTCTGAAATAGACTCAGGTAAGTTTAAGCTTTGCAAACTGGGCATCCTTCCTAGAAAGAGTAGATCTCACTTTTTCATCTGGAAAACTTTTAACACTTTTCACATTTTTATCAAAAGGGATAATGATACGTTTTGAAAGTCTTGTCAATGGCCTTCTGCCTTGAGGCTGGGCCAACCCAAAGGTGAACCCCTTTTCTGCTGGACTGTGTCCAAGCACCAGATGGACAGATCTTACACACAATACTCTGTGGTCTGGAGGCTGATCCTGGAGACCTGCCCATAACAGATCCCTGCTGCTGGGTAGGGTGCTCCAGGAGGTCCTGCCCATTCAAGGAAGCACTTCAAGCCTGGCTGTTGGGTGGGAGTCCCCTGGATAGTACGCATTCAGTTATGGGTTATTATGCCTCAGTGGTCACTGGTTTGAACAATTACACCAGTGTCGCCAGGAGACAAAGCTACGCAGGCTGCTTCTAGAAAGATAACAGATTTGTAAACCTCCCAGGGCAGTTCTACACAGTCCTGTAGGGCTGTTATGAGTCAGAATCTACTCCATGGCAACAGAATAAGATGATATAAGGAGTCTTGATGGAACAAATGGTTAAAGGTTCAGCTATTAATCAAAAGGTTGGCTGTTCAAATCCATCCAAAGGCTCTGTGGGGAAAAGAACTGTTGTTCTACTGCCAAAAAGATTGTTGTCGGGGCTGCCACGTTGGTTCTTACTCACAGGGACCCTGTGTGCAACAGAACTTAAGACTGCCCGGTGCTGTGTTGCTGTGTTGGAGGCCATTGTTGCAGTCACTGTGTCAATCCATGGTGTTGAGGGTCTTCATCTTTTTTGCTGACCTTCCACTATTTTGAACATGAGACCCCTCTCCAGGAACCAGAGCAGTTCATGCAGCATGTCCGAAGTATGTGAGAGAAAGGCTTCTTGTTATTGTCAGGTGCTACTGAGTCGAGTATGACTCATAGCAATCCTATGAACATCAGAGCTGAACCCTGTCCTGTCCTGTGCCATCCTCACACTTCCTGACACACAAGAGCCCATTGCAGCAGCTACCATATCAATCCGCCTGGTTGAAGGTCTTCTCTTTCGTTGACCCTCCACCCCCCTTCCCAGCATCATGTCCTTCTCCAAGGAATAGCACCTCCTAGCACCATGTTCAAAGTATATGAGGCAAAGCCTCCTCATTCTTGCCTGAAAAGAGCACTCCAGCTGCACCCTCTCCAAGACATATCTGTTCTCTTGGCTGTACATGGGATGTTCAGTGCTTTTCTCCAACACCACAGCTCAAAGGTGTGAGTTCTTATCCTTTCATCGATTTGTTGTCCAGCTCTCAGATGCATAGCTAGTCATCAGAAAGACTGTGGCCTGAGTCAGACACACCTTGGTCTTCAAACTGACATCATTACGCCTCAATAATTTGGAGAGGTCCCTACCTGCAGATTTTCCCAGTGCAATGCATCTCCTTCTTTCCTGACTGCTGGTACCAAGGGTGTTAATTGTGGCTCTAAGCAAGATGAAGCTGTTGACAGTTTCAATCTCCTCTCCGTCCATCATGATGCTGCCTATCTGTCCAATGGTAATAATCTTTGTTTTCCTGACATTGAGATGTAATCCATACTGAAGGCTGCACTCTTTGATCTTCTGCAAAAAGCACTTCAAGTTCTCCTCCTTTTGCAAGCAAGGTTGTGCCATTTGCATAAAAGGGACAAACTCGCTCTATATTTCTCAAACTGAGAGAATGGAAAAACACATTTAAGCTTTGTATTGCAATACTGAAAGATCCTATGGGTGTTATATTGGACGACTCAGAAAACATCAAAAGAAGATGGAGGAAGTACACAGAATAACTGGACCAGAAAGTATGGATCGGCACTGAAAAATTTCAGAAAGTACTGTAAGAACAGGAGACAAAAGGCTTACTGTTCTCAGTTGTAGGGAACACTTTGGCTTTACATCTTTCAAGACCGATGCGTTCATTCTTCTGGCAGTCCATGGCACATTCAATATTCTTGGCAACACCATTTAAAGACTTCAGTTCTTCTTTGGTCCTATTTACTCATTGCCAAGTTTTTGTATGAAGATGTTGTTAAGTGCTGTGTCGAGTTGAATGTGACTCACTGCCACCCTGTGGACAAGAGATCTGAACCCTGTCCTAACCTGTGCCATCCTCACACCTCCTGACACACAAGAGCCCATTGTGCTGCAGTCACTGTGAACATGAAGCAACTGAAAATGTGGCTTCAGTTAAACCCATCTTAGTCCTCAAAGTTATTTCTTTGCTCTTTAGCACTATAGAACAAACAACTTTGTTTTGGTTCCCCCCCCACCTTGTTTGTGTACCGTCGAGTCAGATCCAACTGGAACAGGAGGAAATTGCCCTTTCTTCTCCAACAGAGCATCTGGTGGATCCAAACCAGGGGCCTTAGGGATTGCAGAGCAGCTTCTTGCCACTAGGCCACCAGAGCTCCCTGCTCTTTAACACTTTAAAGAGGTCTTTGTAGAGATGTGTCCAATGTGATATATCCTTTGATCTCCTGACTGCTGCCTCTCTGGGTGTTGATTGTGGGTCTAAGTAAAGTAAAATCTTTGATAAGTTATCTTTTCTCCATTTAATATGTTGTTGCTGATTGGTTCAGTTGTGAGGATTTTGTCTTCTTTGTGTTAAGGTATAACCTATACCTTGGGCTATAGTCTTCATCAGTCACTGCCTCAATTCCTCTTCACTTTCAGCCAGCGAGGTTGTGTCAGGTCAGTCCTACGGAGCAGTCACACGTGGTGATTGTGAATGTGGACTGATTCAGGAGCACCTAACAACAGCAACAAGGATGATATGGCTCATGGGGAAAGGGAGCAAGCAGGCTCAGGATGCCTGAGTGAAACCACAGCTCCCCGATTTGCTCTTGTGTGGCTTTTGATTCTGAATCTCATAGCCTACATCAGAACGGCAAGGAGCTAGATGAGACCGATGTTAGGAGTCTTTATGTGGCACCAATGGTGAATATACTCAGAGCCTTCCTGCGAGGCTGGAGGTTCAGGTGCATACATCAGAGTCTCAGAAGAAATGCCTGGTGTTCTCCTTCCAAAAGGCAGCCACTGAAAAATCGCCTGGAGCGCAGCTCTGCTCTCTGACACTCCCGGGGCCACCATGAATCGGAGCCCATGTGATGGCAACCGATGTTGTATGAACATAAGACATATAAACATCTTCCCTGAAGATTCTAGAATCTTCGGCTATTTCTCTTCTTCTCCCAATTCTATTGAATTATTGGTGAGTGAGATCATGGGGGGGGGAAATCAAGAGGGCTGGGAGATATCATTATTATTGTCATCATCACCATCAGAAAGCTGTCTTCATCCTCTGCCTGTCTTGTCCCTCCTCTTTTATTCCCATCTACTTCCTTTTCCTGTCTTTCCTTCTTCCCTTTCCTGTCTTCCCTCCTTCCCCTTCCTCTTCCTGTTTTTCCTCCTTCCTTTCCCTCTTCCTGTCTTTCCTCTTTCCCCTTCCTCTTCCTGTCTTCCCTCCTCCCCTCTCTCTTCCTGTCTTTCCTCCTTCCTCTTCCTCCTCCTTTACCCACCTGCCTCCTCCCTCCTTCCTCCTTTTTCTTCCCCTTTTCCAGTTTTCCCCCTCCACTATTTCCTCCTCCCTTTCCCCCTTCCTTCTCCCTCCTCTCCTTCCTTCTACACTGTCCCTCCCTCCCTTTCTCTCTTCTTGGCCTCAGCTACTTCTCCCAGACAGAGACTAGGAAAGCAGCTGTGACAGGCTTAGGACTCCCCCAGCCTCTGCTCACAGGCTGAGGGGTCATGTGCCAGGAAGGACAGAAGGAATACATTGTCACAATTATTCAAGCCCCCTTGGGGACTCTTACCATACTGAGACATGGATGTGGCCCTGGAGCTAAACTGTGGGCAGCCTGGACGCATGAGAAACGCCTTTCGAATTCCCTCCACTTGAGAGGCAAAGCCATTGTAGACAGATTTGGAGGTATCTTTGTCTTCATTCTGAGACTAGATAAAGAAGATGACCACTTAGTGAAAGGACATGGGAGCCCCTCTCTAAGAGAGTGGAGTGTTTACCAAGTCTTATTGTGTGGATGTGCCACCTCTCCCCACATACTGAAGCATTTGACGGCAACCTGGATTTTGTATTAGAAATTACCAACTGAAAACTCAGATGACTAAAAAAGGCCAGACTTACTGGACTTGTTACTACATGCAGTTGGTTGGCTACACCTTCTAGCTAGCTATTGGATGAAAAGCACATCTGAACCTTGCCCTATCCTGAACCATCCTCACAATCTCTGACATGCCCAAGACCATTGTCATAATTAATCACTGTGACAATCCGTCTTGTTGAGGATCTTCCTATTCTCTGACCTTCCACCTTTCCAAGCATGATGTATTTTACCAAGGAATGGTCCCTCCCTAACGACATGGCCAACCAAAGTACATGAAATGAAGTTTCACCCTCCTTGCCTCTAAAGATACCCTGTTGCACTTCCTCTGAGAAAAATGTATTTTTATTTTTTTTTTGCAGTCCATTCAGTACTCTTCTCCAACACCACAATTTTCCTGCCATCCTTATTCATTGTCCAACTTTCAGATTCATGCGAAGTAATGGAAAAGACTATGGCTTGTATCAGCTACACCTTAGTCTTTAAACTGACATCCTTGCTCTTCAGCACTTTGGAGAGATTCTTGACAGCAGATTTGCCTAATGCAACATTTCTTCTGTTTTCTTAATCACTGTTACTATAATCCAAGTAAAATGAAATCTATAACAATGTCAATCTTTTTTCCATTTATCAGGATGTTGCATATGGTCCAGTGGTGAGGATTTTTGTTTTCTTAATGTTGAGATGTAATCCGTATTAAAGTCTGTAGTCCTTGGCCTTTTGCAACAAAGGTTTCATTTCCTCTTCATGTTCAGCAAGCGAGATACGTCATCTGCATAACACAGGTTGTTGATGAGACTTCATCCAATCCTAATGTCACAGTCTTCTTCATATAGTCCAACTTCTCAAATTACTTGTTCAGCATGTAGACTGAATAGGTATAGTTGTTTGTTATGTGTCGTCGAGTTGCCTGCAACTCATAGCGAACCTACATACAACAGCCCTAAACCCTGCTCTGTCTTGTGCCAATCTCACTGTCTCCAAAACCTCCACCCCGATTTCCCCAATCACTGAATCAATCCACCTCACAGAGGATCTTCCCCTCCTGCTCTGTCCCTCCACCCTTCCAAGCATGATGTCCCTCTTCAAGGACTGGTCCCTCCTTGCAACATGTCCAAAGTGTGTCAGACAAAGCCTCAGAATCCTTGCATCCAAGGAGCATTCCGGTTTAACCCTTTCCAGGATGAATTTGTTTTGTTTTCTTAGCAGTCCATGGTACATTCAATACCCTTCTCCAGCATCACAGCTCAAAGACATCCTCTCTAGTCATTGTCCAACTCTTTGACGCATAGCAAATGATTGCAAAGACCTGTATCAGGCACACCTTAGTCTCCAGAGTGACACCATTGCTCTTCAGCACCTTGGAGAGGTCTCTAACAAGAGACTTTCCCATCGCAATATGTCTTTTAATTTCCTGTCTGCTGGTACCAAGAGTGTTGACTGTGGGGCCAAGCAAACTAAAGCTATGAACAATCTCAATCTCTTCACCATCCATCATGATGCTGCCAATTGGTCCAGTGGTGAGACTCTTTGTCTTCTTCATATTCAGCCTCAATTCATATTGAAGGCTGTAGTCCTTGACCCTCTGCAGCAAGCACTTTCAAGTCCTCCTCAGTTTCAGCAAGCAGGGTTGTGTCATCTGCATAATGTAGATTGTTGATGGATCTTCCACCAATCCTGATGCCACACTTCTCCTCATAGAGCCCAGCCTCCTGGAATAGGTATAGAGAAAGGATAAATCCTTGATGCACACCTTTCTTGATTTTAAACCGTGCAATGTTACCTCATTCTGTCTAAACAACTGGTTTCATGGCCTAGGTAGAAGTTTTGTATGAACACAATTGTTCAGGGATTCAGATTTATATCAATGTTAGCCACATGTTGTTGTAATCCACACAGTCAAATGCCTTTGTATAATCAATAAAAGACAAGTAAACAACCTTCTGGCATTCTCTGCTTTCAGTCAAGAGCCATTTGACCTCAGACCTCTTCTGGATCAAGATTGAACTTCTGGCAGTTCACTGGCAATGTACTGTTCCAGATGTTTCACATAATCTTGAGCAATATTTCACTTGCATGTGACATTTTTATATTGTTACTTCCTGCCATCTGTTGGATCACCTTTTTTGAGTGAGAACAAATATGGATCTCTTCTGGTGAGTGGACTAGGTAGGTATCTGTCTCCCATATTTGTTGGCAGAGACTGGTGAGCATGTTGAGGGTTACATCTGTTTCCTGAAATACCTGAAACAGTTGATATACAGAAAATAAGTGTACAGAATAGTGGTTCTCCACAGAGGATCAGAGATCTGCTTTTGAACGTCAGTCAGTGAAAAGTCATAACAATCCCACTCAGAACTAGTCAGGGGAATGGAACAGGACTGGCCAAACTTCATCCCTGTGCATGGAGTCGACACCTGCCAGTGGCAGGTAACAGCACAAAGGGCAGTAAGAGAGCATACAGGACCAACTATGGGGCTGGTCATAGCCTGTTTCAGAAACCGAGTTAAAGATACCCAATTGCTTGTTTTATGGCTTTTCTTGGTAATGTATTCATGCTGTTGTTAAGTGCTATTGAGTCAGTTCTGATTCACAGCAATCCTATGCACAACATGTCAATTGGCATCCCAATTCCGGGGGCTCTATTTTTTGCCAATGCCTTCAGTACAGCTTGAACATCTTCTTCCATCACCCTTGGTTCTTGGTCGTACGCTACTTCCTGAAATGGTTATGTGTCAGTCAATTTTCTGGGTACAGTGACTACATATTTCCTTTGTCTTCTTCTTTGCCCATAGCAACTTGAGGCTTAACTTTGTTTTCCAGTTCTTTCAGCTTGAGAAAGACCAGGCATATTCTTCCCTTTTGATTCTCTAGCTCCATCTCTTTGTTTCATTATAACACTTTGCTTTGTCTTCTCAAGCTGCCCTTTGAAATCCATCTCTTCAGCATTTCTTCCTTTTGTTTTGACCCCTCTATGCTCTCTTGCAATTTTTTGAGTCTTTCCTGACATCCATTTTTGTCTTTTCTTTCTCCCATGTCTTTGTAGTAACCTTTAGTTTTCTTAATGGATGATATTGTTGATGTCCTCCCACAACTGGATGAGTAGAGATTAGAGAAATTTTAAGACTGTTATGCAGAGATACTCTTTAATATTAGAAATGAAAGAATTCCTGGAGGTCACCTTTCAATTATGTGACAGATGATTTCACAAAATGAATGCTATCTGTGAGTACAACACTTAAACAAACAAAAACTACAACAAACAAAAATTAGAATAAACTATTAAGAACCAATAGTTGGAGGGTGGGGGGGGGCTGGGCAGGGAGAAAAGTGCAACAATGAATGAATGGAAATCTAAAAATCTCTGTAAATGTTCATTAAAATAAAATAAAATAATAAAAAAAAGAACCAATAGTCAACAGTTAGGCTAAAGCAGAAATGAGAAGGTGGGGAGGGGTCAGAGAAGCTGTTGTTGTCACTGTTAGATGCCATCCGGCCAGCTGCAAACACAGACCTGAACCTGGTCCTACCCTGCACCATCCTCCTCAATGCACTCACGTGCATTGTCACAATCACTTTGTCAATCTGTTCTGTTAAGAATCTTTCTCTGATCCTTCCTCTTTTCCACCATGTTCTCTTTTTCCAAGGACCAGCTAGCCCCTTCTGGCAACAAGTCTTAAGTATGTGCTGTGAAGTTTCACTATCCTTGCCTCAAAGGACCACCGTGGTTGAATTTCCTCCCAGATTTGTGTATTCTCTTGTCTTGTTGTTAAGTGCCATTGAGTTAACTATGATTCATAACAATCCTATGAACAATGGATCTGAACCTTGTTCTGTCCTGTGACATCCTCCTCAGCTCTGATATACTTGAGCTCATTGATTCTTGCCTCTGGAAATTCTGTGAACCTTGATTAATGACGATAGCTATAGCAAGCCTTCAGGCCTTCTGGGTTGCTAGGAGTTGTGCTCAACTTGACGGCAATCAACAACAACAACAACAACACTGTTACAGTCACTATGCCAATCGAGCTTGTCGAGAATCTTCCTGTCCTTTTTTATTATTAATTTTAATGAAAATTTACAGAGACTTCGGATTTCTATTCATTCATTGTTACACTTTTCTCCCTGCCTGAATTTTTATGACTTTCATAGTTCAATACTTCTTTCCAACACCACAATCCAAAAGCATTGATTATTTTGCCTTTCTTATTTGTCATTCAACTTTCAGATGCATGGGGAGTAATTGAAAAGACCATGACTTTGTTCAGGTGCACCTCAGTCTTTAAACTGACATCCTTGCTGACTGACACTTTGGAGACATCTGTAACAGCACAGTTTACCAATGCAATACATCTCTTGATTTTTTTTTACTGCATTTGCCATAAATATTGATTGTGGATTAAAGTAAAATTAAATCATTGACCACTTTGAGAAGTCTTTTCTCCATCTATTATGATGTAGCCTCTTGATCCAGTGGTAAAGATTTTTTTTTAGATGTGGAAATGTAATCCGTATTGAAGACTGTAGCCTTTGGTCTTCTGTAGTAAGATTTTTTGAGTCTTTATAACTTTCTGCAAGCAAGGTTGTGTCATCTGTGTAATACAGATCTTGATGAGTCTTTCTCTAATCCTGATGCGACATTCTTCTTCATATAGCCCAGCTTCTTGAATTATTTGCTCAGCATATAGATTGATTAGGTTACAACCATGTACACATCTTGCCTGAGTTCAAACCATGCAGTATTTCCTTGTTCTACGCAGACTTCTTCTTGGTTAATGTCCAAGTTTCCCATCAGCACAATTAAGCCTTCTGGGATTCCTATTCTTCTCAATGTAATCTGTAATTGGTTATGATCCATACGGTCAAATGCCTTTGCATAGTTAATAAAACACAAATAAGCATCGTTCGGTATCTTCTGCTTTCAGTCAAGATAGATTACTGGAAACAGAACAACAGAATGGAAAATAATGAAAATGTTGACACATTGTGAGAAACAGACTCAAGAGAGTGGACAATATGTGTAAAAATTATAAAATGGGAGTCTGATTTACTCTGTAATATTTCACCAAAACCACAGTCAAATATGATTTTGAAAATAATGAAAAGTGGAAAATAATGAAAGAAACTGCCAGGTGTTAATTGCAGGATAGCCTTGAGGAGCCCGGCGTTGGCTTCTGGAGGCTCCCTCGGTGTTTGATGGGAGCAATGAACTTGTGTTCTTTCTTTTCTCTTCATCCCTCTTTTGCAAACTCCTGTGCAAGTTTCAAGGACAATTGGGTCTCCTTCCTCAGATTCTGGATTCAGATCCTTGCCTGGGAGGCTGCACCAGCCAGAGAAAGTCAGTAGAGATCTGCTAAGAAAGATGAGACCCAGAGCAGCTAATTTCCCCAGGAGAACTCTAAATAGCTGGGCAACTGAGGCACCAGGACCTCCCAAAACCTGAGCGTTTTGGGATGACAAGTCTGCATCACCAATGCTCCTCCACTTGTTGGAACTGCGCGTGGCCTTGTCTACCATCTGTAGATCATCAAGGCTGATTTCACATACTCTGTGGACTGACGAGAGGGGTCCTCTTGGCACAGTGTTTCAAGCACTTGGATGCTACCCCAAAGAGTCAAACCCTGCAGCCACCAACCACTCCAAGGAGGATGGGGCTTTGTGCGTCCACAAAGATTTACAGCCTTGGACACACTACGAGACAGGTTTACACTATCCTGTAGCATCACTATGAGTCAGACTCAATGGCACCTGGTCTTCTTGTTGTTTTTCAAATGGGCCAACCCAGAAGCCCAAGGTGAACAATTGACTGCTAACTGGAAAGGTTGGTGGTTCGAAGCCACTCAGCAGCTCTGCAAGAGACAACCCTGAAAGAGTTAGAATCCAGCATTCAAAGACAGTGACATTATGGAATGACAGGTGGTGAGGCCTTCTGTAAGGGAGGGCACATACAGGGTAATTTCCTGGGTGCTGGGCTCTCTGAACTGTTCTTTCCAGCCCCGTACCATCTTCTGGTAGTAGTCATGGAGGATTCCAGCTGACCTGCTGCGGGAGCCCTGGTTGCCAAGCAGCTTGTACTCTGGGGACCTGGCATCTCGGCTGGCGATGCTCTGGAGGTCGGTCAGGCCCTTTACAAACATGTTGGGAGCTTGGATGCATTTCTTGGGTGCATTGGATTCCTTTTGGGATAGCATCAGGAAGCTGAGAGGGAAAGACCAAGGCCGCTCTGTGAAAAATGAGACCCTGGTTGCTCGCTCCTCTGGCCCAGAGTGTCACTCTCAGTGTGCCCTCAGGCTGGAGCCTGCTGACTGACAGGAACAGGAAGACAGCCAACTTCAAGCTCTGTGAGCCCGCATCTACTGGATCCTGGGAACAAAGTATGGCATCACAGATGTCACCATAGAAACAGGCATGCCTCAATTTTCTGCAATTAGGGGAAGGAGATGAGAAGGGGACCCAGAAGTGACTCCCACCCAGTCTCAGTAGATTATAGACACAGGAGAAACGGCAGTAGCTTCAACACCATCCTTTCTCTCATGATTTTACTGATTTCTTATTTATTTTGAGCATCATTATTTCACTTTACTTTGGGCATGTTGTTAGGAAGGGCTATTCCTTGGAAAGGTGGAGAGTTAGTGAAAGAGAGGAAGACCCTCAGTGAGATAGATTGATACAGTGACTACAGCAATGGGCTCAAGTGTGTCAGAGATGTTGAGGATGGCACAGGATACGGCAGGGTTCAGATATGTTTTTCGTGGGATGGTTATAAATTGCACTCAACTTGATGGCACCTAACAATTCAACATTTAACTTAAACTTTAGTACAGAAACCACATTGGGATATCACCATTGTTGTTGTTATGTTCCGTCGAGTCGCTTGCAACTCATAGCGACCCTATGTACAACAGCCCTAAACCCTGCTCTATCCTGTGCCAATCACACTGCCTCTGACACACCTATCCTGATTACCCCAGTCACTGAATCAATCCACCTCATAGAGTGCCTTCCCTGCCTGCGCCATTCCACCACTCTCCCAAGCATGATGTCCCTCTCCAAGGACTGGTCCCTCCTTACACCATGTCCAAAGTATGTCAGATGAAGCCCCAGAATCCTTGCCTCCAAGGAGCAACCTGGTTTAATCCTCTCCAGGATGGATATGTTTGTTTTCTTGGCAGTCCATGATACATTCAATACTCTTTTCCAGCACCACAGCTCAAAGGCATCAATTCTCCTTCTATCCTCCCTAGTCATTGTCCAACTCTCTGATGCATAACAAGTGATTGCAACCACCATGGCCTGTATCAGACACACCTTAGTCTCCAGAGTGACACCCTTGCTCTTCAGTGCTTCTTCACATCCGTTAGGGTGACTATTACCAGAAAAAGGAGGATGACTATTCCACTGGCAAGCATGTGAAGAAATTAGAACCCTTATTTGTTCCTGGTGGGGTGCAAAACGGCTCAGCTGCTGTGGAATGTGTGGTGGAGGCTCCTAAACATGATCAAGAATACATGAAATGCTACACAATATGGGTGAATCTAGAACAAATGATGCTGAGTAACATGTGAGTCACATTAGAGCGAGCATATGTTGCTGTTGTTATGCACCATCAAGAAGGAACCAACTCATAGCTGACTCTCCAATTGGTTTTCAGAGACAGTAAATCACACTGGAGATTGTCCATCCTTCTTCAGCAGAGTAACCAATGGATTCAAACCGCCAGAGGGGTACAGTCATTGAGTTAACAGCTTGACTCCCTACATATCACACCATCAGAGCTTCCTCTGCAATGCGTAGAGATGGAACACTATTGAATTGTACAAAATAGTTGATGGTACAAAATATATGATGGTACAAAACACAAAAACAGTGACTATTTTGGGGAAATATAAACATATTTGCTTAAAATTCACAATTTAGAAGGCTATCTTAATCCATGAAGATATAATTCTTCTTTAAAAAAATACAATTAATGTGAGATGTGAGATTTTTCTCAAGTGTGAGGACCATGAACAATACAAGATCGATCTCACAGTAAAGGACTCTGGTTGTTGTTGTTTGCGATAGAGTTGAAACTGACTCACAGTTAAACCCCCAGTGGGTTTTCAGAGGCAGTAAATCACACAGGAGGAGATTGTCCATTCTTCTCCTGTGGTGTAACTGATGGAGTTGAACTTTGTTCCACCGGGAATGTAGTGCAACTTCTGGAGAAGAACCAAAATACCTGACAGAGGTCCAGGGTCTTCAAAACACCAAGCATCTGACTTCATGGTAACGTCAGTTGAAACCTGTTGTTGTTGTTGTTAGGTGCTGTCGAGTTGACTTTGGCTCATAGCAACCCTGTGACCAACAGATGTGAGCCTTGTCCTCTTCTGAACCATTCCCACCATCTCTGATGTGCTCGAGCGCATTGCTACGGTCAACTGTGTCAGTCCATCTTGTTGAGGGTCTGTGACCTTTCACCTTTCCCAGTACCATTCTGTCTTTTTTTCCAAGGACTGGCACCTTCTGGCAATATACCCAAAGCATGTGAGACAAAGTGTCACCATCCTTGCCTCTAAGGAGTACCTCACTGTACTTCCCTCCAGGACACATTTGGTTTTTTCTTTTGGGTGTCCATAACATATCCAGAGCTCGTCTCTAACACCACAGTTCAAGGCATCAGTTAGCCTTCTGTCATCCATTAGAAGTTAAAAAACCAATTCACTTGCTATCAAGTCAATTGTAATTCATGGTGACCTTTTTTTGCACAGAATAGAATGGTCCAATAGAGTTTCCAAGACTGTAATCTCTAGAGAAGCAGACAGTCTCATCTCTCCCCCACCATTGTAGTCTTTCGTTGTTGCTGGGTACCACTGAATTGGAACTGACTCATAACTGACCTTCCAGAGGGTTTCAGAGGCTGTCAATCACACAAAAGGAGATGGCCCATCGTTCGCTCGAAGAGCAGCTGGTAGATCAGAGAACCTCTTCCCTCTGGGTTGGTAGGGTGACTCCTTACCACAAGCCACCAGAGTTTGTGGAATGGATATAATGTCCCCCCCCCCACTTCCCCGTACATGCCCTGGCACATAAATACCACATATCTAAACCCACATTGCACCCTGCCCTGCAGGAACCTCTACCTGAGTGATTCAGTCCTTGGATGTCTGGAGCAAGCGTTCTGGCACCCATCTCTGTACATAATTTCCCTAACAAAGCAGTATCTGACAGCTCTGGCTTTCCCTGCTTGGTTTTAGAATCTGACTCACCCTGGAGCTGCTCCTGTGGTTTGGTCTGGTGGAGCAGGACATGGAGAACGCCTTATGGTTGTTTTTAGAGATCTCACTGTTAAAGCACTTAGCTGCTAACTGGAAGGTTGACCTCTGTAACCCACCAGCTGCTCTATGGGAGAAGAATGCTTCCATAGATGTTACAGTACAGATTATGAAAACTTCCTATCCATAACCAAAGACCTTGAGAGAATGAGTTGCTCGCCTTAGGAGTTCAGGACCATATTCTCAGGGCACATTAAGTTCAATTGACGTAACAGTCCACAAAGACAATGTTTTATATCCAACTTTCTTGAGGAATGAATGAGGTCTTCGGAGAAGTCAGCTAAGGTGCAACTTTTGATCTTTTCCCATTTAGAGCCAAGAAGAGTGAAGAAAATCAAAGTCTATGGTGCCAAAGGACTAATGGACCATCATGACCCTGAGGCCAAAAAGCAGAGGGTGCCCAACTATCACCATTGACTCTGTGCAAAGACTCACACAGTGGGAGAGTGGGAGCAAAAAGTGGAAAAGAGTTAAAGGAATGAAAAAGATTGCTTTCTGGTCTGATAGAGATTGGTGGCACCCTTGAAATGACAGTCCTTAGTCATCTCCTCAATCCTATAACTGAAATCAGCTCTGTGACTAAACTAGGGACAAATGCATTCCTTCGAGCCAGCAAAAATACAAGAGCTAAAGAGTAGTGTTCACCCAGCGGCCATGATCAGAAGGCCAGAAGAACTAGGGTGGAAGGAAGAAAGAAATGAGAAACACATTCCTTATAAGAAGCAGGAAGAGCGTGGTTACAGTGTGGGGGTATAAATTTTTTTAACTTATTTTTTTAAACATTTTTCTTGATATGTTAATGAAAGTTTACAGAAAACTTGGATTTCCATTCTTTCATTGTTGCACAATTTCCTCCCTCCCTCTACCCACCCCCCAGTCCACTTTGCTATTCATCTCTGATTCTGGACTACTGTCATGCAAATAATACCCGATTGTATAGTTCTTTTAGACAATTCTTTCCCTCATCTATTTCAATGCAGTGTTCATTATTTACCCTCTTCTTTTCTTAGTTTCCTCCCAACCCCGATGTCAGTCCCATTTTACAACAGTGGCAATTATTTGTCCTTTTTTTGTGACTGAGATATTTCACTCAGCATAGTGTCCTCCAGGTTCATCCATTTTGTAAAATGTTTTATTAGTTCCTTTTTTCAGTACTGTGTAGTAGTATTCCATGTGTGAATATACCACAGCTTCTCTATCCATTCATTTGTTGATGGGCACTTGAGTTACTTCCATCTCTTTGCTATTGTGAAACACGCAGCAATAAATATGGGTGTGCATGTATCTGTTTGGGTGACAGTTTTGCTGGGTCAAGTGGTATTTCTATTTCCAAATTTTGGGGAAAACACCATACTGCCTTCCATAGTGGTTGCACCATTTTACACTCCCACCAACAGTGAGTAAGGATTCCAGTTTCTCCACAACCTTGCCAACAATTGTTTTTTGCTGCTCTGTTGAACTTTGCTATTATTACTGGGTGAGAAGATATCTCATAGTTGTTTTGAGTAGAGGATGTAATTCATGTCAGTAAACACAACGTGAAAGAATTGTCAAAGGGAGGAAAGTCGAATTTGTTCTGTGAACTTTCATCCAAATCATAAAAACCCCTTTTTATTTATTTTTTTTTTTTTAAACACTACGATGCAGAAAACCCTGCTAGGGTGGTTCTACTATCTACTGTAGTGTTACAATGAGTTGTAATCAACTTGACCACAACTACTTTGGTTAAGAATTTCTGGCGATGCAGCAGTGCCCACAAAGTCTGGCAGTTTGAACCTATCAACTACTCTTCTTGAGAAAGATGGGGCATTCTGCTTCCTTAA